CCAGGTAGAGCAAGAGATTCATGGTACCACAGTGTCCCCCTAATGTGGAAAGTCTGCTCAGTCCCTCCCTTACATTCTCTATAAGAGGTGATGTCATACCCCAAATCATGTCTTCTAAAAGGTTCTGCTGCTCAGACTCAAACAAGCAGAAACAGCACAGAGGGTCGCGGGGCTGTTATTTTGCCACCTTAAACTCATTTCACTTTTCTAATCCAGAGTTATGTGTAACCACAAACCATGAAGATGCTCAGTGAGTAGGGAATATGTCAAGCAGACTAACCAGACTGATGCAGAGATTAGGTGATTTTACTTTGTACCTAAACACTGGCTGTTAATTAGCAGATCTCCAGGTCCTCTGGATAGGGAAATACAAGACCTCTTAGTCTTCCAGAGTACAGAAATTGTTCTTTACATAAAATGAACCTGGGAGCAAAAAAGGTTAAAGTGTGTAATTCCTTCAATGGAGGGTGTAAAGTGATTGGTTACCTCCAGGTAGGAACTCCATTATCAGGTAAAGATTCCTCTTATCTTGAAAGCTGTAGAACATTTTAACTACCCAAGCACCGTCCGCTTCCACCAAGATATCTCGCTCTGCACGGATGTGCGCCACCTACAGTGAAAGAAGTAAAACAACATAAACCGGACAGAAGAGTGCGGATTTTACACTGAGAATTCTCAGAAAATATTCAGAGGCTTTACCCAAAGACTTTTAAACTTCTATTCCAAACAAACATGTACACACAACCAAATTATCCGTGATGAAGTTATTTCTTGAAACTATAAGATTTGTATAAAAATGGAAATAAATAATACGTAAAATCAGTGATCTCATATCCCCAACATCTACAATTACTGGTTACAGAAGGACATGGCTGCAACCTACCAGTTAAGCCTGGTGTACCCAATGCTTTCAGTGTGAGTGCTGCAGTATCCCAAACATCCCTACCGTGCAGCAACTACAGAACAAATCCTTAAAGCGGCACGGTCACATTTGGGTACTTTGAAGGATTTACAAAGACCCCCGACGGTGACATCGCTGCGGGGAGTCCAGTGGCTGAAGGGGGCAGGGAGGGGGGAGGCAGCAAGAATAGGCAACTTCGACTTACCTGAACCTGTCCCTCGTGGGGGACCACCATCTTCCTCTAGCAGGTCCCCTTCAGCTCGAGGCTTCAGCATGGGCACGAGTACAGCATTGAGGTCTATGGATGATCCCGCGAGACCCTCCATAGACTGAACTAATTCCCTGCTGCTGTCACTGGTGACGGCTGTCGGTACTGATACTAGCTCCGCACAGTGTCTGAGAAAGTCAGGCGTAGGAAACATACTTTGTTTTGTGTTTTTAGTTAGTAAGATATAAGGAATGAAAAAAAGAAAGAGCATAGGAAGGAGGAAGCGATTGGGTAAATGGAAGTACAGCGTGACAGTGCGGCTTTAATGCATTACGCAAATACACTCCTCTAACCTGCTGCCTGCATTTCATTCATAAAAACATATCAATGAGATCATCAGTCTATAGAAGATTGCGGGGAAAATGTGTGAAAGCTCAGATTACCTGTTCTTTCTCTAACATATCTGCCTTCCTCAGGATTTTCATGGCATATATGTGGCCAGTGTCTTTCTTCTGGACAAGACGAACCTACGAAACACAGAAATCAAGTCACAAAAGCGCCACCTCGTGTCCCCCAGACAAAGGGTTAAATGTGATTTACAGTTTTTTTTTAGATTTCGGTTATGGAGTATTTTCAAGAGAATGACCTCGCCAAACGCTCCTCTCCCGATGACCTTTAGGGATTCAAAGTCGTCCAGACCCAGCCTGGTGCGTTTCAGACGCAAGAACTCCGTCTCTTTCCGCGCATGCTGTGACCGCCTTAATTTTTTCTGTTGAAATAATTTGAAATTTTTTTGAAATGGTTAACACTCAAGTCCTTTTTTTTCACATGCATTATTATTGTTATTATAGAAGGTTAACATATTCTAGAGCTCTGTACAGTACGTGTATTGAAAAACAAGTATTTGTAACATGACGGGACAGCTCAATATTATATCACAGTAAACATGTCATGAGTGATGGCATAAAAAAAAGCAATGGTGGATTATTATTAAAATCTTATTTGGCTTTGGAGGGGTTTATTCAATAAATAGTGCTTTGGTTAACGATTTTGTAAACTAGACGGCGTTCAGCATTTATGCATTTTCAAACCTGCTATTTTAATTTTGAACACTAGGGGGCAGGTTAACCACAGTCTAAAACACCACAATTTAACCCCTTAAATATGGAGGCAACTGTACACGTTCTGATCAAAACAAAATGTTAACCAAACATGGAATTTGCGCTTTATGTTTGTTCAAACATAATTCAACTTATATTAAGTGCACCCACACTTGTTATATATTATTTTGTTTAGGAGAAACAGGGCTTTCATTTGACATCAAATGTTTAGATATGAAACAATTAAATATGAATAAAATATAAAAGAATGCGAGAAATTACGCAATTGTATTTTTCAAGTTCTGCATGACATTTTAACTGTGAATGTTATAATACTGTTTGCTTTCACTGCAAAAAAATACACATATCCAGCGATGTGTAAAACAGTACCCCCTATGTACAGGTTTTATGGTATTTTGGGAAGTTACAGGGTCAAATATAGCACGTTACATTTTTCAGTTTTTTCACATTGAAATTCGCCAGATTGGTTATGTTGCCTTTGAGACCATATGGTAACCCAGGAATGAGAATTACTCCCATGATGGCATACCTTTTGCAATAGTAAACAACCCAAGTTATTGCAAGTGGGGTATGTCGAGTCTTTTTTAGTAGCCACTTAGTCACAAACACTGGCCAAAATTAGCCTTCATATTTGTGTGTGAAAAATGCAAAAGAAATTTGAACGCTAATTTTGGCGAGTGTTTTTGACTAAGTGGCTAACAAATACTTGACGTACCTCACTTGCAATACCTTTGGTTGTCTACTATTGCAAATGGTATACTATCGTGGGGGTAATTCTCATTCCTGGGCTACCATACGCTCTTGAAAAAAAATGAAAATCAAGCCTTATATTTGACTCTAACTTTTGAAAACACCATAAAACCTGCACATGGGGGGCACTGTTATACTCGGGAGACTTCACTGAACACAAATATTAGTGTTTCAAAACGGTAATACGCATCATAACAATGATATGGTAGAGAAAGTGCCGTTTGTGTATGAAAAATGCAGAAAACGGCACTTTCACTGAAGAAATCATCATTGTGATACATTTTACTGTTTTGAAACATTAACATTTGAGTTCAGCGAAGACATCTTGCAGGAGAGCCTAATCACTCTGGATCTATACACACTGGGAAGGGACAACCTAAGCGGTAGTAACCCATCTACTCGAGGGTATACCCCCCACAGCAGCCAGCAACCATTAGAAAGTTCAGTTTATTGAAGTAAGCTGATTTAAAAAATATTATACCTCGTCATCTCCCAGGCCTTCTGCATTCATGGCGATTTCCAGTTTTTTCTGCCTGTCGGAGAAATGCAACGTTTGCAATTAACAAATTGTATAAAACCGAAACATGTTCCTGGTCCAGAACTCCTACTTAACGCAAACTTGTGGCTTTCTCGCTGCATTAACTTCGACATGCAAGAGAAATTGGCAGCGCCCATTGCACAGTGCTATGGAATTTGGTGACGCTATATTAGTAATAAAATAATAACAGCTCACTGCAGTAGTTATGGTGCAATGAGTTTCATTGAATCTGAATGTGGGAAATCCAATGCGTGTGCTCTCTGATGCAGAACCCAGGGCACGCCAAAACTACTAATTTGAACATCCACATTACTTCGACATCACCAAAGGATGGGACATTGCGTGTTAGAGAGCCTTATAGTCTGTCACATGACTCAAAAACAAAAGTGACTGTACCCAAATACAACTAGCACCATAACCACTACAATAAATTGCAATTATACAACAGACTGCAGTGACACTTCTAAGAGGAATGAAAGAATAAATAAATAACAGTTGTGATCAGCAGCGTACCGCGTCTCTCTCTCTTCATGCTGTAAAATCAGGTTACTGTAGAAGGTCTCTAGCGTGAGTTTGGCGACAGTCACTCTCTCCCGGGTGTGGTTACTCATGGGAAAAGATGTGGGGTTTCCAGCTGTCATTGCCATAGTAATAAACTCTGAAAAAAAAAATCAAAGCAATTAGTCAAAAAGTGGCGTTAAGACGGCTAGCTTTCTGCCAAATCCATTAAATAACTGTTACAAGCAGTTTGACTGCAGATCGAGAAGCAGAATAAAAAATAAAATAAAAATAAAAATCGCTGTGTAACGTGACAGAATGCCCCACACCCATATCCAGGGGTGTTATCGGACGCCAGCAGCCAGAGTCTCCGCATCTCACACAGGGTAAGACTTCCTGACGGAGAAACTGCGCATGGAGGGAGCAAAATGCGTGTCAAGATTAAAGGGATTAATAAATAATTCATGGAGATTGATTCAAGGCCTGTATGATGCTGATCAGTCTGTCCTGGCCCTCCCTGCGTTTGTAAATGGGAATATGGTGGTCTCTGGGACTCGTCCTGCCTCATATTCATACTATAAACAGAAGCCTTTAATAATCCTCAGACAGACTGTAAAAGCTGCAGTTCAGCAGCTAAGGAGATAACAAGGTTATTCGTGCTAACAGTGTCAGGCTAAATCAGTGATTTGACAGCTCTCGCAGCTACCGTGCTTCTATGTATTTCTATAGTATAAGTATAACTAAGGAGGCAAGCCACGTCTCAAAAACTATTCCAAGAATACATTTTTTTTTTTTTTTAATAAAACTCATATCTGGAGATAAAAGGCTTATACACAAACAATTCTCCTCTTGAGCGGTTTACTGGGGTGTATAGTGCTGCAGAATTATACAAAATACTGTTCAGGGATCACATTTTTACCCACAATGCAAAGTAATGGTGTGTGTGTGTGTGTGTGTGTGTGTGTGTGTGTGTGTGTGTGTGTGTGTGTGTGTGTGTGTGTGTGTGTGTGTGTATATATATATATATATATACACACACACACACACACACACATACATATACACACACACACACATACACATATACACACACACACACATATACACACACACACACACACACACACATACCACCCCCCCTTCACTAATACTGCCCTTCCATAGGGCACCGAGAGGGTTAATGCCCATTACATATCCCATAAATAAAAATAAATAAATGAAAATATGAAATTATTGAGGCTTCTACTAAAATAAAAAGTACGACAATTTCAGTACAAAATCCCAGTCGTGTCTTTTTTTTTTAAAGAGGAACTGTGACTTCTCGGTGGTCACTGCGTCTGGGAAACCTGATGGACGCTTGCTGGGATCTAATAGAACACACTTTCCTCGCACCATCGCTTTACACGCAGTATGAGCATTCCTTCCATCATACATATAGGCACGGCATCTCACCGAGGGTTCATTTACACTGCACGCTCAGGCTGTGCCAAGGCACCCCGGCATAAACAAATGAGAGCCATTATAAAACTTGTCAAAAGTGACAGCTCTCAACAAGGATTTGTACACTGAAAGGGCCCTAAAGGTGCTCAGCCAGGTTGTGGCGTCTTGATCCCCCCCGCTGGAGTTATTGGCCCACTGACACGACGCACAGTGCTTGTCTGTAGAGCTGACAACTATTTGAAAACACTTGCCGCGCCCTCTGCTTACAAACATCAATCTATAGGCAAAATACAAGCACAGGGACAGAAAGATTAAGAAAGGTTTAAATATCGCCTATCATGCAAAGAAAAAATAATAATTAGGTTTACCAAAAAATAAATTTCCATCTGTGTAGTCACAATCCACAGTCAGCTAGCAGGCAAGGAACAGCCATATAGGAGGCCCATCCCACGTACAGGGCCCGCTGCACCCAAACACAAATCAGACAATAGGGAAATAAACAGAGGCTGCGCAAACAGATGTGTGTACCAAAAAGTACCATAAAGGTTTATTGAAGGACATACAAGGCAATAAAAACCATAGAAAGTAATAAAGCAAACGTTTCGGGTTACCCCCCCAGGGACACGATGCATTGACAAAGGGAGTAACCCGAAACGTTCGCTTTATTACGCTCTATGTTTTTTTATTGCCTTGTATGTCCTTCAAATAAACCTGTGTGGCACTATTTGGTGACTATTGCCCAGATTTCTATACACTATTTGAGCTGCAATGGTAGGTGTAGGCAGCACAGGACATTCTGTTATAGAAAGATACTGCAGTAACATTAACCTCAGACATATCTTTGTGGCCACAAATACAAAAGCCACACTTAGAGACAGTGGAGTTTACCAGGGTGGTACACGGAGAGTGGCTAACCATCCACCCCAGGAGAGCACAGGAGCCGGGCCAATGCAGTAACGTAAACACACACAGCTGCTTAATGAGCGTCACACTGCCGCCGTAGCTCCGAGGATCTCGCTCCTCACCCAGGGAACCCACAGAGGAATGGCACAGCGATACACAGGAATCAGGAATGTAGCCCACGAAAGGACATGAAGCCTGGCCCACATCACTGGAAACCACCAAATGTTCTGTCACCAGCCCAGGTCTCCGTCCTTCCTGATCCGACAAAGTATCGTAAAATGCAAGTTCCCTGAACAGGAGATCCTCTTTGAAATGAAAAAAAAAAAAAATCTAGCAGAGCTCCACAACCATCTACTAATGAGAAGAACCATAACTGGGCAATGTGCCGCTGGGGAAAGGGCCTATTCTGGAACTAGTTCTACCTTTCCAGTCAGGACACACATTATCCCACCAGTAATGGATTCTCATGGACCATGACAATGTTAAGATGAAAAGATCTATTATTGCAAAAAAACGATATTAGATATAAAGATCGATCTATAGAGATATATCAGTGGATGGAGACAGACAGATTTTGCTTATTTCAACATGGATCGATGCTCTCACAAGGCAAGGCTCACTGTGTGCCAGGGGTACGTGGCATGCCCTTCTCAGTGGTAAGTTGCACAAGTGTGTTGTGAGTGGTACGTGGCAAGTCGTGGGACTGGCGTCTCACAATTTCATGTGAACATTTAGGTAAAACAAACATGTTGTGTGTCTGACACGAGGAATGTTACAGTTCTAGGTGTGACCAGGATTTGTCACTGGGCTGACAATATGTGTCAAAAGCTATATTTACCTAGAGTTAGAAAAAGAAAACAAGGCAATGTGAGCAAACAGCGATTAAAACAATGTATTATAAAAAGCATGGAATCGCAAAATAGGTGATCATTAACGCAGTAATAATAGCTTTGGTTGAAATAGTCCATTACTACGTATCTATGGTGAAAATTGGGACAACTGGCCATTACACCAACAGGGACTTTTATGACATTGCATTCTAAATGTATAGACAATAATAGTTAGTTAGTCCCTCCTTTGCAGATATAACAGCTTCCACCCTTCTGGGAAGACTTTCTACAAGATTTTGCAATGTTTATGGGGGAATTCTATCTAGTAGCATTTGTGAGGTCAGGCAGTGATGTTGGGCGAGAAGACCTGGCTCACAAGCTCTGTTCCAGCTCATCCCAGAGGTGTTTGATGGGGTTTGGGTCAGGACTCAAGAACATGACTGTGCAGGCCAGTCATGTTCTTCCACCCCAAACTCATGCAACCATGTTGTGGCGAAACCGACCTCGCCACTGGGCATTGGAGAAGACTGATTGCCTGCCATGTGACTATGGCCCCTGGGATGTATTGCCCTTTAAAGATATGATTTGGGCATAATGGATTTGTGTTGTGCTGCTGCTGGCCCTTTAAGAACCATCTGGGGACATACTGTGGAGTTACTGGGTGACCACCATTTCATGTATCAGAGGCACATGGTAAGAACAATGGATGAAGCACATGGTGAGAACAATGGATGACGGCCATTTTAACTCACAGACACTGTTTGGACTTTTCTACACGGTGCCATCTTGCCAGTATTTGGTGCACAAAGACATCGTGCAATAGTTTTAAACTATACAACAGGGGACACATTATACAGTAATTATTTTTCATATAGCCTGTATATGTTCTGCGGAATCTGCATTAAACTGTATCTTCCAAACTACTGAACGGATCTGGGTGAATTTTGGATATGTGGTTCACCCAGATCCCCCGGTTCCGATGATATATGGGGTTATTGCATGTTTTGGGGTCCCTGTGATATGTTTTAGAACACTGTATTTCTCTGCCTGTGATAATTAGATTACCCATTGTGTTCAGTAATCACATCACAGGTAGAGGGGAGGATTTTGTGTGGGAGTGTCTGTGTATATTGTACAGATTGATTGGTTGTATTTCAAAACCCTGTGGGCAGTACTATGTTTGTGGATTGTGAATAAAAGAGGCTGTATGTGCCAGTACAGTCAGTTCTGCTTCACCCTCAATTTGGAGTGCTGTCTCTTATTGGGGGAATCTGCTACAAGGGATTGCTATGCTCTGCATACTCTCTTGCTATATTCACTGCTAAGCTCTTGTAAGAGCTTGTTCCTGTTTTGCTCTCTGAAGGAGTCTACGGTGGTTATGGTGTCTGCTGCAGTGCTTGAAGTCCTCAGGAAGCGCTAGGAGCATCCTTCAATGGAGGTACCCAGTTGGGGTGCCAGGTGATCCGTTACACATGTCTTTATGGACCTTGCTTTGTGCACTAGGGCACAGTCATTCGGGACTACAAAAGGGACAGACTGTTCCCACAAAACTGGAAACATAGCATTGTCCAAAAAGTGGCGGTGTGCTTTACCCACTCAATCTGGAGCTCGGCATTGTACTTGGTGACGTGAGGCTTGCATGCAGTTTCTCAGCCATAGAAACCATTCAATGAAGCTCCAGCCGCACAATGTTTGTGCGGATATTAATGTTAGTGGAAGTTTGGAACTTTTCAGCAACAGAATCAGCCGAGCGTTGTCGATTATTACGCACCAGGCGCCTCGGCGACTTTCTGCTGTTCTTAAATGCTTGCACTTTCCAATAATATCACGCAAGGGTGACCATGGAATATCTAGCAGGGATGACATTTCACAAACTGACTTATTACGAAGGTGGCATCCTATCACAGCACCACACTTGAATTCACCGAGCTCTACAGAATGACCCTTTATTTTTATTATACAAATGCAGACTGCATGGCTCGGTGCTGGATTTTATACACGAAATCGGATTGAAACACCTGAATTCAATCATTTAGACATGTCCCAATATTTTTGCCCATACAGTGTGTGACCTTCAGATCTGCAACATGAGAGAGAAAATGTAACATTCCTTTTAGTTCATTGATCACAGATTACATTGTTGTTCTTTAGTTTGTGTATATTTGCACGCTGTGTTATACTGCGTTACACAGTGAGCGCTCACATAACCACATCTGTTTCTATTCTATTGCCCTGTGCTGATTGCTGGAAAATCTCACTATAATAAGTTCAATTTTCATGTCATCTGAGCACATTTACCATTACTTCATTTCATATTAAGCTCCCAATTCACAGTGACCTGTGGACACATACGCTCTCTATAAGCTCCGATCCATTCCATATAGCCGGTGCTCCAGCACAGAGCTCCGATCCATTTCATATAGCCGGGGCTCGAGTACAGAGCTCAGATACATTCCATATAGCCGGTGCTCGAGCACAGAGCTCAGATACATTCCATATAGCCGGTGCTCCAGCAAAGAGCTCCGATACATTGCATATAGCCGGTGCTCCAACACAGAGCTCCGATACATTGCATATAGCCGGTGCTCCAGCACAGAGCTCCGATACATTGCATATAGCCGGTGCTCCAGCACAGAGCTCCGATACATTGCATATAGCCAGTGCTCCAGCACAGAGCTCCGATACATTCCATGTAGCCGGTGCTCCAGGCACAGTGCTCCTATACTCTCCATATAGGCGGTGCTCCAGCACAGCGCTCTGATACTCTCCATGTAGCCAGTGCTCCAGGCACAGAGCTCCGATACTCTCCAGGGCAGAGAGAATATAAAAACAAGTAATGACCGTATAATAAGATCTGGAAGTTTTTTTTTTTTACAGACAGAGCA